AAAAAAAAAAAAAAAAAATGTATGACACAGGTAATGCACTTCATAACATGAATGAACTTGGAAGACATTAAGCTGAGTGAAATAAGTCAATCACAGAATGACTAATATAGTATTAGCTCATTATTGTAAAAAGTCAAGGAAAGGTTTATATACGGAAGGAAACTTTCTTTGTTGGTTACCAGGGGTGGGAGGAGAGGGGAGGGAACACCGCAAAATAAACAAACAAACAAATAAATAAATAAATGCATTGATCCATGTCACTTTAGTTTTATGTATTTCACTGTACATAAATTATATTTCAATAAAATGAATTTTTTTAAAAAAAAAGGTAATGTATTTCACCAGCCTAGAATCTCAGAAATCAAAGGGATCTCATCTCTCATTTTATCCAACCCTTAATTTATATATTAGGTAACAGCCTATAGGGTGTGGGGTCAGTTGTTTAAGGCTACACATGGGTGACGAGTAGTACTGTTTGTAGCCCTGGATTTCTACAGATTTTTGTGCTGTGGATGGGCTTGGAGTAAATGATGTGGAATATGCTTTTCAGTTTTCCAATTCAAAAATGGAGAAAATCCCTGTGATCTCAATCCCAAGTGGGGCCCAGGCCTGCCCCAATGTCAAAGGCCATGTGACTCTGGCTTGGCAGGTTATGTGAGCCCTCACCTTTCCCCCACATACTGGCCCAGCCCATGTACAGATGCCATCAGGAAGAGAGTGTCCCAGGCCTATCCCACAGACACAGAGACCCTTTTTCTTTCTCTCTCCCTTTCCTCCTGTCAAATTTAAAGAGTGGGGTTGGTCTAGATAATCTCACTTTAGTTTGTCTTAGATGTCTGCACACTATAGTTTCATAAGAATCACTTTGAATGATGTGCCTGAGAAGGTTGAGGTGGGCAGTGATGATAAATGGTGGGTTAAATGGTTCCTGGATGTGGAGAAAAACAGCAATTCAGTATGTGGCAGGGAGGCCTGTGACAGCGTTTGTTCTACTCATGCCGGGGGGAGTGCTAGCCTCCAGCCCCTGGACTGGGAGATTTTTCTTTCTTTCTTTTGATCTTTTTCAGTCTTTTGAAATTCCTGGGGGCAAGCATCTCATAGGTCTAGCTTGGGTTATATGCCTACCTCTTCGTTTGGCTGATTCGGTTAATGGGGCATGAGACATCTCTAATAGTTCCCCAAACAAACTTGGAGTACTGTCACCTGAAGGAATAATGCAAACAAAAACTCTCTACCCTGGTTACTCCTCATGTGTTACATTACAGTCAGAGGACAAGGATTATGTTTTACCTGCCACATTGCCTAATACCCTAATACAGCCATTATCAATAATCAAGGCTTGTTGGTAGACTGATTTCTGAGGGCAGGTTGGTAAGAAAGGAAACGAGAAAGATCTTTGAGATAAATTTGGAACTTGGCTTCGGGAACTGTGTGAGTAGTTAGTTTACGTTTGGTTAGAGGGTGAAGGAATTTGGGAAAATTTCTAATCCTGGAGAGGGAGACCTGGCAATTCAGATGAAGGCTAGGAAAACTGGGAGTCAGATTTGGAGAAAAAAATCAGATAAGGGAAAGGGGAGAGAAAAATGTATTGGATCTATTTTCAGAGGGGACGTAGATTCTGGGTGAAGGTGGGGAGGGCTAGGTTGCCAATGGTGAGGAGCAGGTAGAATTTGGGTGGGCTCTGTGTCTAATCTGAGTAAGTTGAGGTCTGGGAGGGATACTGAAGATGGTGTCTAGAATTCTGTGAGGGTGGGCTGAAGTTACAGGGGTATAATGAAGGTGAGGGAGGAGATGTTACAGGGAGGAACAAGGTGGGAGGGATGTTCAAGAAGGTTTGGGAGGATGGGTGGAAAGTTTTCAGGTGAAGACTAAGCACTCTGAGGAGGAGCTGAGGGAGGGTAAGTTGTGGGTAAGAGCAAGCAGTTGAGGAGCTGGGGATGGACTGATGGGATGGTAAAGAGGGGCTGTGGGTTCTGAGCAATAGGGAATTTAGACCACTAAAGAGGGTGGAGTGTTGAGAAAACATCAAGACAGGTAACTATTTTGTGCCAGAAACTGGCCTATCCAAATTCTGGAGCAGGTACTTCTGGGAACTTCTCAATGAGAGGATTTAGGTTGGAGTTGCAGACATGCAGATGGAACGTTTTTCAAGGAAAAAATCTTAGGGACTCTTGGTGTGACTAGTTGGAAGTTGGGGTACTTGAGAGGGCCTTTGAAAAGGATTTATAATATTCAAGATGGATAATCTGAGGGTGCAATGGGAGCTCTGGAAATGAATTTGAGGGTTCTGAGGTGGAGAGATTCTCAAAGTCTCAGGGTTTCCAGATTGGGTAATGTGTTCAGCCTCCAAAGTAGCAGGTCAGAGGTGAATGCGGGTTACGTGAAGGAGTCTCGAGTACCCTGAGTCAGGCTGGCGCCGATCCTGGGCTGGTGGGGTGTGGTCGGGACGAGAAGGCCGGGCTCACCTGGGTAGGCTGTCCTGGTAGTGCATGGTGGGCACGATGCTGCGCTGCAGGTATTGGCTGGGTCCGGAGCCGGCGCTGAGGGGTCGCCGGGGGACTCCAGGGCCAATAGCAGGACCCCCGGGCCAGAGGCGCAGCAGCAGGCGGGACACCATTGTCCAAGGTGGCGCCGGTGGCGGCAAGAACGCAGGAGGGGAGGAGGTCTGTTGGGTATAGAGGGTAGGTCGCAGACCTCAGGGTCACAGAGCACAGCGTCAGGGACTCAGAGCTCAGTTAGTCTCCGCCGGCCGAGCCACTTCCTGCCGGTGAGTTCCCGCCGGCTCCGCCTACAATCCGGTCTCTCCCGAGGGCACGGCAGGTCCCGCCCATCAGCGCAGCAGGTCCCGCCCACTAGCGAAGCTTGGGCTGGCTACAAAGAGCTGGCGCCTGGGGTGAGTAAGTCTTCTCTCCGTGGTAAGCGGAAAACCTAAAATACAAAACAAAAAAAACCTTCTGCCATCTTACTCATAGCGACCATAGGACTGTAAATCTTTAAGGAGGCAGATAGCCTCATCTCACTCCAGTAGAAGGGCTGGAGGGTTCCAACCTCAGACCTTTTGATTACCAGCCAAATTACCTTAACCACTACACTAACAGAGCTCCTTACAGGCCAGGAAAAGGGAGCTCAAAATCTGCTCCCTTCTCCTTTTTTGGAGCAGGATGGAAACTGAAGCTGAAGAAAGCTTTTGGAATGTGATGAATCTAAGTTTAAATCCAGGCACCATCCCTGGAAGACTGTGGGCCCATTTTTAAACCTCTGTGAAATAGGCATCATGATCCATGGTGGCAATAAGCAGTAGATGGTGGTGGTTGTTTCTGCTATTAATAACCGGTGATGTTTGCCCAGTTGAAGATCTTTGCCTTGAATGCACAGCTGCCCAGTGAGTTCAACTAAGCAGGTATTAGAAAAAATATGTGCAGGAACCAGAAACCATGTAGTCCAGAACCCAGTGACCTATTCTGTACAGAGAGTCCCTTATAGCAAGTCCACTCTTCTTGAGCATCCTTTCTCAGCTTAAACATTTCCAAAGACAGGAAGCTCACTGTTGAGAGGAAATCCTTGTCCTGTCTTTGGGACATCTTCATTGCTCAGCTGACTATATGTAGATCCATACCTGGGACTACAGAGAACCTCCATGGTTCCCTTCCAACTCTATGACTCTAAGAGTCTACAACTTGAACAGAGATCCATCACCCGTCATCCACCATAAAACAACCATGGAACAGCAACTGAAAACCACCACACCCCAACCCTGGATCTCTGCTGTAGCTGAAAGATCAGGACGGTACAGCTCCTATTTTACAGGAGAAGAAAGAGATCAAAAGACTTTATGTCACAGTGTCTGAGTTGAGGCACAATGTAATTCCATTGTTGGGAACACCTCCTTTAGCTCCCGCTGTCAGTTGTTACCCTGTATTTGAAGTAGCCAGGTGCATTTTGTTGGCTCCACAACTGGCTAAGCAGTTCCAGAAGCTGGAGCACACTGGGAGAGAGCACCTGATTGGGAGTTAGAAGACCTGGATTTTGTCTCAACTTTGTCCCTTATCTGGTTAGATGATCTCTGGTAGAACAAGAAGGTTAGTAACCACTCATTCACTGGTGATTGTGACACTCTTCCATGGTGACTGTGAATGCTTAAGAACTAAGCATGAAACTAAAAACACTCCAAAACAGACCAGCTTTGCTGGTCTGATAGAGCCTTGTGGAACCCCTGAGACTATGGCCCCTATCTGCCCTTTGGGTCTGGAATTGAACCCAGTCCTGTGGCTTCCAGCCAAATGAAAGACAGGCATATGAGCTGAACATTTACATTAGGTAGATACACTCCTTGGAGAGAACAAGCATGGGAAAATAGAAGGGCTATGTATGCACAGAGAGACAGCTCAGGGGGCAGGAGTGCATGGAGGGATAGACACAGGGAAGAGGTAACTATGGGGAGGAAGTGGGAGGGGAGCTGTTGCATTGTGGAAGATTGCGGTTGATGTCCTGAGACAAAGTATATGTGGACTTCTGTATGGAAAGTGAATTTGCCCTGTAAACTTTCATCCAAATCCAATAAAATTTAAAAACAAAACCAGGGTCAAATCCAGATGATTCTCAGAGCCTTGAAACCTGAGGCAAGTATTATGAGCTGTGTAGAGCTAAGGGGATCAGAGGACTAGAAGAAACAGTAGACTCAGTAGAAAGCAATGGACCAAGTCATCACCTGTCTATGGTGAATGGATCCCTTTAAACAGAAGGCTTTGGCCTGAAGCATAGTTCCCATTCCAATCTACTTACTGAAAGAAGAGTTCAGAAACCTTCTGTGGGCCCATGGCTGACAGGAACAAATCTAAGCCCCTTAGGCTGGTGTCCAAGGCCTTGTGAATCCCACTTGCTTCTCCATCCTCATTTTGTTTCCTGAGTTACCCTGTGCTTTAGCAGCTCTAAACTAGTTATCTTTGCCAGACCTTGTCCTGGCTTTATACCTCCCTGCACTCATTGTCCCTACTGTCTGCAGTGTTCTTTCCACACATCTCTACTTAGTAAACTCCCACTCATCCTTCAAAGCGCATGTAAAAACTCGCATCCTTTGTGAAGTCTTCCTCAATCCTCATCCTTCTCCTAAGAATGAATCCCTCTCTCCGTGATTCCACAGCACTTTGTATTTTCCTCTTCGTTGTATCTAGAACACAACTGTATTATGATTATTTAATTATCAGTTCATCTCTCACAATAAACTTTGAACTCCAAGGCAAGGATCTTGTTTTCACTTATGTACCTGGTTGCCTAGCACGGAGCCTGCCGTGGGGCAGTACTTTCCTTCTTTTTCCTAAGGTAACCCTGGGGCCTGTATCACATTAAGGATGACCTAGTGGCTAAGGCACTTGACTGCTAACCAGAAGGCTGGCGGTTCAAACCCACCAGCCACTCCTCGGAAGGAAGATGGGGCAGTCTACTTCCGTAGTGACACTGCCTCGGAAACCCAAGGAGGGGTCACTATGAGTCAGGTCCGACTCGACGGCAAACAACAACAACAAGAGCTGGGATAACAGAAAGACCATTTTGTTGTCTAAGAAGCAAGAAAGTTCCTCTACTTAGAGAAAAATTCTGAATAATGAATTGTTAGTATTAAAATAATCCCATATGTCTGCTCTGTTTTGAATTAATTAACAAAAAGTAGAGCACAGTAAGTTAGGTTACAGTAATATTCTTATTCAAAATCAAAGTTCTTAACAGCTACAAACTTTAAATGGATGGCAGAAGAGTTCACTTTCCAAACAAAAAGAGATTTCGTTAAGTGTCTAACCAAAGGCAACAAATGGGAATACTGACAGCAACAAGTAACTAGAACTGGTCTGATCAGCGCAACTTCTCAGGTTGTATTGGATCTTACCTAGACCAAATATTGCTTGAAATTCATGGGCTAGCCTTCCTTGAAAAGTTATTTAGCACTGCCTGATTCAATGGGATTGGTTGCAATGTACTCCAAACCTTTAAAAAGAAACTGAGTACGTGATAAAGTATTTAAATACAAAAAAAAAAAAAATCAAAGTAAAAAATTCCCTCCCCTGGTGTTTTGAGTACACTACATATTTGACTGGTAGCATAGTGGCTAAGGCACTTGACTGCTAACCAGAAGGCTGGCAGTTCAAACCCACCAGCCACTCC